CGAGTTATCTCTTCTTTTCCAACACATTGATCTCTCCGTAGACAAATTTACATCGCAACTCTTTTGTTTTAACAAAAAGTAGTGTAGGTAAAGTCCTCAGGAAAACGATTCAGTTTCACGACAGAATTTCCCAGTTTATTTATAGACTGCGCGTTCTAGCATCGATCCTTACATCTAGGCGAATCCTCACGTGGACTCGTCAGAATACACTTTACATTTATATTCTATGTCCTACTTAGTTATTTAGCAACTTGAAATCACCTTTGTACGTAAATTCATAAGCGTTAAATTCAAAACTAAATTACTGTATATTTATTTACATATATACAAACAGTGTACTAAACTTCTCTAACCCTACATTTAGAATAGTCTAGCTGTGCCAAAATAGATTCAGTGGCTTCGCAAAGGTCAGAGTTAAATATTCTAGTAAGCAGAAGTTCTTCCACTTAAAATTTATGTCGGAATGGTCACGTCAGCCCCATGTCGGGAGCTCTATCCAATCACAACGGTGGCATACCTCAAACGAGATGAACCTTCACGGAAAGTTTGTTGGGCCATGTTGAATAATAATATTCGACGCAATTTATCGTACTATGGAGCTAGTGTGTTAGGCAAAACATTTTAGTTTGATTTATTAATATTAAACTGCTTAAATTGATTTTCATGGTAAAAGATTTCATTGTAAATAGAATCTTCGAATTTCACCTACATCTTGACGTAACGACCTGTCTTTTTAGTTTTACTTTTCGATTTTCACACAAAACCCTTTCTCCATCCAATGTTGTCTTGACAGTAAAAGCACTTGATCCCTTTGTCTCATTCCCATCTACATTATATGTATCGAAACACTCACGGTCGCTGGGGGCCGCGACGCTCCATGCCAACAGTACTCCGACGAACAACACACTAACTGACTGTAACGCCATTTCTGCACTACTTACAGTAATTTAGTCAAACAGGTTTATATAGGGGTGACCGTGGACGCCCACGGTCCATCATTAGCTTCATACGACACGGCCTTGGCAATTGAGTAATTGTATCAATGGTCCTATTGAAATCTCTGACATTGTGGTACACCGGCAGTGCATGTTTGTCTAGCGTATCTTTTGTTTCAACTGATGTGTGATCATCATGATCATAATCTTCATTCCTGGAAGCTACTGTGTTTGTTTTCCTTTCAAGTTTATTATGTGCTGTATCACCCTCGGGTCCTTGATAAAATTCAAGGTCATTTGCCGGGATTGGTTTGTTTTTGTTGTTTTCTTTTGTATTTTCATGCCTTTCGGTTACTTTCTTGATAACGTTGACTCTGGTTATTTATTTACTTAGTTCTAAGTGTAAAATACTGCTTAGTGAGTCTAAAGACTAAGTTAGATTTTGTAAGCAAGAAAATGTTTTCCACTTTTAAAGTCTAGACCTACCTACCTAGAGTCGTAGCTGGTTAATGTTGATTTACTAGTTCATGTGATATAACAGTAATGACACAACGGACGAAAATAACTACACCTAACGCCCTTGTCAATGTAAATCCTGTAGACCTTATTAGAGGACAAGGTGTTTGTGTAACTATACTAACTAAATTATTTACTCTCAACTAACAAAAATCTTCATAACATATTTTTACAATCAGTTTTAAGGAGATCATTATAAATCATGTTTTAAAGATCTCAGATTATAAGGTGGCGATCAAAAAGGTTAATCAAAGTGACGTCTTGGACTGTGTCAATGTCCTCATTATAAATTCTATTCATTGAAGAATCTGTTTTGGTTTGTTGCGTCATCGTCAGGTTGTAATTCTTGAATTCAAGGTGAAGTTTGGTGTAAAACTTTAATCTTTTGTACTAATAAAATACTGTTGATAAGATTTGTATTTGTTCATTCATCTACTGAACTATAAGTCAAATAAAGTGCACAAAAAGTAGTGAACAAAGTTAATAGTGTCGGTAAGTATTTCACCTTGTTTTAGGGCATTGAAGGAGATGATTACTAGTCATTGAACACTATGAAGTTTAGGAACTACGTTGATAAAACTATGAAAGTGATAAATAAAAAATACACTTTAAAGTTACTTTTCAAATGCAATAATTACACACAATAACTTTCGATTAGTACTTTAAATAAAATTTCGACTATATCAATAAACATTTCGTCATTTTCTATCCTTTTTTTTACGAATTCTCATTTGCCAAAGCTACCAACATTGCGTCCAACGTTCAACAGTTTGTTACCATGTAGTAACGGTTCGTTCCGCGTAAATCGATACAAATGCGTTGCCAACCATCTTTTGTAAGGGGATGTTACCCCTAGACCCCTAAGTGCAAGCCACCCCTAGCACAGTGGTTACAACCGCTTTCTGTGATGCAAAGCGCTTTTTATAGCAGTTTTTTTGATAATGATTCTGTGTTTTTTGTCAGCATTAGTTTTGTTTTTGGTGTATGCAAGGGATTTTTTTAAAGATAGCCGTACTTTGTATTTAATTATGTACTTAACTAATTGTGATATTCTCTTTGTCTCTCATCATGATTATGTTAATTCCACATAATTAAAATAAAGCAGAATAATAAAATACAATTACAACGTGCAATGTAGAGAAATAGAATGAATGTTCTTAACGCTTAACTTACATTATTAAATAATTTACTTATCAGTTTTTTACATTGTAACACTGCCTTAGGAAATGCTAGCAATAAGTGGAATTGAGGCACATCCCTATTAATGTGTTAGCTTTGTAAGATAAGGAGATATCATGTGCAATATTTGAAATAGCAGTTCATTTATTATGCTAAATAAATTTATGATATATTCGCGATTTTACTATGATATTATTACTACACCATATTTTACAAATCAGTGTTTTATGAATACCCCAAATTAAAAATGGGTTGTAAAATGCAGAAATTCAACATTACACAGAATTTGAAAACAAAAGATGACAGAAATATATAGTGCTACTTTTTTTAATTAACATAACAGATACAATACCGTACCTCATCGAAAGTCCTATAATACACAATGACAGCAAATTTAAGATGGCTACCATTGAACTTGCGTAAGTACCTAAGGTAATATATTTTTGTTTTCTCTCCAGACTACTTTCAGCAGTTAAGCGTAAACTTGGCTCATAATTCTGTCCTACAACGGAAACTCTTTACAAGTTAAACTGGAGGTTTGCAGTGGAGTTCCCAAAGACTTTTTTTACGTTTTACGACAGAACGTCCGGGTTCCGGGAACCGGGTATGACTCACTGAATGATGTAGGATCTTGTCATGTCGGCAAACATGTTTTGCTCCCGGAATAAGAAAGTATTTGGGATAAAACCTTTTCGGATGCAAAAGTTAAGCTCGGTTTTCCTTTTGTAAGCTTGTCGGTTTAATAGGATTTCAGAATGTAAGTATTATTTTATGCTGCTTTGTTGGTTAATGGTCTTGTGTGGAACTCTCCTTTTCATTGCTGTGTGTGGTTTACAAACTTCACTTTTATTTATTTAGTGGCAAATATTATGCACATTGCACAATCTGCTAGTAATTGGCGTTCCTTAGTCTCTGCCTAACCCCATGGGAGACAGGCGTGAGTTATGTATGTATGTATGCACAATCTGTTGTAGATTTTTACCGTTAATAAGTCTATTTATAAGTAACCAATGGGTAAACGGTAAACACACAAACAAAAATTTCACCATGATTAAACTTTTTCAATTTAAAAAACACACAACAAAAATAAATCACATCCTACATCTTTTATCACACCTTCGCAAAAAAGTTGCGAACGTTCTAAAAGAGTCGTGGCGGTAATTAAAACTCCGTGGGACATAAATCTCAACTCCAAGCTACTTACAAAGCCAAGGAAAATAGGCTAGAGACCGGGGACAGGAGTACCCGGGGCGTTAATTTGTCCCAGTGCACCCCTGTACTTCGCGCTAATCTCATTAGTATCCCGCGGGTGCATTCGCTCAAATGTACCCCCTACGTCTGACGATTTTGACAAAAGACATCCGGAACATCTAGTTTGACGACTCAGCCAAGTGAGGCTGTTTCAACCTGTCTAAATGCGATTACGGGGTGGAAGTCACTGGGTGAAATGCGTTTATGCGTATATGCGTAATTCATTCGAAGCGAAGTGCGTGCTTGCGGAAATTTGTTTGAACAAAAATCATTAGAATATGTCTGGGTTGATGACCTTTTCATTGATTTTGTTGTAGGTATGTGTAGAAAAGATTTCTAGTAGATACCTAATGCGTTTTCTAAAACCATGATTTGTGTATCACGTCGGGGTCACCACTTTAGGGTTATACATGTGTACTAAGTGATTAAATGAAAAACGTAGTTCGGGTAGGACCGTATATTCACGACTGGTGAACTAACTTGATGGACCGCAGCCCTCGCTATATCCATCCTTTAGCGTACGTCAAGCTATCATATTTCCTGTCATACGATGTGTCCCTACAGTATCTAAATGTTAAACTTTAAAAATAGCGATTCTAAAATGTAACAGAACTTACGTAAACTTCCAAAATTAAATTGTGTGTGAAATAAGTTGTTGTTAAAACTGAAGTTGCAAACTCAATTCCAAGTTTGTAGTCGGGAGTTGCAACTATGACTCAAAACGTACGTTTGTATGTACGTGTACCTATGTAAACTTAAGCGTCTATTCATTATATTGTAATAGCAACAACTTCCTGCAAGCATCAGTTTGTCGGACTCCGTAAAACTTGTAAATTCGATTATTGAGTGGCAAGGGGCTGGGACTACTTTTGAATTTTAAACGAGTTTGTCAACGTTTTTCGCAATCTGTAAATTCATGAACGACAATCCAGATCATCGATTTACAATCGTTTTTTTAAAGAGTACAAACTCTTTAAAGCATATTTTTGCATTATTTTGAAAGTGGCATAATGTACACCTCTGCTTACCCCTTCGGGGATAAAAGGCGTGATGTTATGTATGTATGTATTTTGAAAATATTTGGTGTATATTTCTGACAAAAACATTATTTTGTTACAGGTCTTCTATCCTCCCGTTCGAGTATATTTCGTCAGATGTAAGTCTAAACAATAAATATTCCGAATATACCAACCAATAAAGGAACTATAAATTAAATTGGGAGTCCCAGGCTGGGCGCCAATAGATTCGTAATCGAATGTTCGCGAAGGCTAAAATTAATGTGAATGCGATACCAAACAATTTTGTATTTACAAAGCAATTAATTGTTTGTTATACTTGTGTGGAACAAACATTCGTAGAGCGAGGCGTTTAATTTAAAGGTATTGATTTTCAATTCCAGAATACCTACATAATATAACATGTAATACAATAATACCTATGAATTTATGATATCATTATTATAGTCTTTAGAAGCAAATTACTTTGAAATGATAAGGTAGTCTTTTGGCTTTTTCTTTTAAATAGTCAACAAATAACAAACACATTTGGCAAAATATTTCATTTCATTTTTTATTATATATTTTTTTTAATGTATGTCCCACCCATGATTTTTTCCTGTATCGTGAATGCGTTTATAAACATACAATTTCACACACACATGCGTGCCGAGACGAGTCGGAGCAACAATTTGTGGATCATACAAAGAGTTGCTCCGTGCGGGAATGAAATCCGCTACCGGTTGCACGGCAGGCAGTTGCCCAGCCAAAGCACCAACCGTATAATCAAAAACATAATAATATGTATTAAGATTGAGATCTAAATCAAATAGACAGTAATAGTAATAAGTATTTAGTTTTAATTTTATTTAAGTAATAGTTGTAATTTAAGTTTTTTATTGAAATAAACGATTTATCCAATAGACAGTACATAGTTAACAATAGGAGGTTAAAACAACACCCAGTCTCCACTTAGAAGTTCCTTAGGGTATCGTAGGGTCCTTCAACTTCTGTATAAGTAGACCCTCCATTGTCCTCTACAACGTATCCCGAAATTAGTACATATAATATAGAAACCCAATTAGATCTTAGCCTTAGTTGACAAACCTATCTAATGAACACGCTATTATTACACACTAGCGATCCGCCCCAGCTTCGCACGGGTGCGATATACATGGATTATACATATAAACCTTTCTTAAGAATCACTCTATCTATTAAAAAAACTGTATTAAAATCTGTTGCGTAGTTTTAAAGGTCTAAGCATACATAGGGACAGACAGACGGCGGATAACGACTTTGTTTTATACTTTTTAGTGAAGTAAACAAGTACGTTGAAAAAAGGCGGACATAGTCTCTTGAAATAACGACTGTGGCACCAAGCTGCTATAGACTTACACGCATAATACACACTTTGACACGAAGTACATCTATCGTGTGACATGGCCCGTCATTACCCTTCATACATTACGGGGTTTCAATTAAACGCGCATATAAATACAGCACTGACATTTTTTTAACGTTGCCCGACTCTAGGATTTGCTCCTGTGTCGTGGGTGCGTTTACAAACATACAAGTTCACATACACATCACACCCAGACCCGGAACAATAACCTGGGTATCACACAAAGAGTTGTTCCGTACGGGAATCGAACCCGCGTCACGTTGCGCGGCAACCAACTGGCCGTGCAGTCAAAAATAATCATTTCTAGTGACATTACGTCCGCCATTTTCAACGTCCTTGCTTGTAGGTATTATTATTGTTAATTGACAGTTATGAAAAAAAATCTTTGAAGATCTTACCCTAGTCACCAAATAAGGGTTTATTTAGTTAGGAGCCTATACAGATACTAATCTAACACGTATTGGTAATTCGATGCATATTTAAACAAATTACCATGTTTATTACTTTATTCTCAGTAGCCTAGCTACGGCCCGGTGACTCGAGCTCGACCCACGGTGACTCATTCACAATTATCGGCCGATGGGTCAGGGGTGAATCCACCCCCAAATCCAAATTAAAATTCCAAACGTGACGTCGAGATATAAATGATCTAAAATTTGAATACATAATGAATATGTAGATTTTATTAGTAATGTAAAAAATGTAATAAGATTCGTCGTAACGACTTGTGCAGACATGTGTCGTTTTTTATCTGATCGTGCGTGAATCAGGCACGTGTTTGGCACTTTTATAAGTACATTGTTCGTTCATTCTACGGCCGTTGGTGTTTGAATTTGCTTACAAAGGAGTTTTTGCGTTGCTAACGTATGGATTATTCTGATGTCTGTGACTAAGGTACACTATAAATAGTATCAATCTTCAACCAATCGTTATTTGCTTGATTTACTCGGAAAATTTACTATAATTTCAAGTCTAGACATGACGTCATCAGCATTTCCAAGTAACTAAATCGTGGTTCCAAATCATTAAGTATTTTGGTTACTGTTCACATAAATTGGTAATAATGTACTAATCTAGATCAAACTTCGTCTGGTTTCAACGAACGCATAAGTCACACGACATAGCGTGCGGGGCGAGTTCGTGGTAGAAGGGAGTGGGGGGGGGGCAATATGGCGACTAATTGCAGCGATTCACAACTACCACCGAACCGTAGAGACGCTTGATTGATTATTATTGTCCGTAAGCGATATGGAAATCGCTTAAGCTTTTAGAATATTATAGAACAGCCATTATTGTTCCCCGAAATTATTATAATTTAGGGCTGCCCGCTAAATAACTATAAAGACAGCTATTATCTTTGGTATAAAATGGTGGGCTTTTCATTTTACGGGATATAATAACGGATCGATCTATTCATATTTTCTTAGAAACCTCACCCACGGAATATCGGTTTTCGGAATGTGAAATTGTAATTTATGAAGTTTTGTGTGCTTTGGTTATTTCCAACTTTCCTATATATATCAGACAACCAATCAGACAACCAAACCTAAAATCTGATATGTATATATATATATATATCAATGAATAGATTCCTATCCTTAAAGATAACTTCTCATACTGTAAAGGGGTAGAACAAACTTAAAATTCAATTGTAGTTAACCAATCAGACAACCAAACCTAAAATCTGATCCTCTGTCATTATAGTTGTCATTACTCAACCAACAAAGGTCCCACTTAATATCAATGACATCTTTGCCACGAAATAAATCAAAGCAATTCTAAAATAGTGACTAAGCAACATCGATCTAAATGCAAGGCTTTATCTTTTCAGACAGTCGGCGCCTTGCTTAATGTATTTCCGATTAAATCGTTTAGGCGCACTCTCTATCACTTCCTAAGACTGCATCGGCAGAACGAAGCTATCTTACTTACTACTATTAGTATGTTTGCAGAAATAGATGAAACTCTGAAAGCAATTTAACGGAAGTACAAATAATATTCTTCGAAGTATTACTGTACAAAATATAATGGTATGGCACTTTTGCAGTGATATTTTAGTTCAATAATTAGGCTACGAAACGACAGTTTGACACGGTTTTTATTCTTCTAGAAATAGAAATATCTTAGAGTACCTATCTACGATAATAACTGGTTTTGAGCTGCGATAAATGGAATAAATTCCAAGTCACAATCACATCCTCGACTTATTTCTTTACCCATCTTCACCACCTGCCGAAATTCTTTAGTAAGTTTTCGGTAACTTTGTTGCGAATCGAAGAGAGAAGTGTATGGAGTCACCGCCGCGTATCGCATACCCGCATACCCGTGCAACGTGTCTCGCATGCTAAACACCCATTGTGTTAAGCCTTGGGAATCTGTTCGTTACTTATGTTCGAACCACAATATCGATTTAACACGCTGTGAATTATGATTCACGTGTGAAGATGAAGTCTTGGTCGATGCAATAAAACTGTATGCCGATTGCAAGGCACACCTATAAAATACAAATGAAAATCAGGAAACGATCCAAATTCATGCCCAATTATAGTCAAAAGAAAAACGTAATCATGACTAAACCATGCACGAATTATTAATGTACGGAATACTAAAAAATACCCGAATACCTGGCAATAAAATTCTCGGAAAAATGATCATAAAACTCTACTAAAATTCAGAACACAAACTAGAGTTTTAATAACCTACGCTAACAGCCAATAACTTGCATTTAATCTTAAAATCCACACAAAATGAATCCGTCCTTAACACTCCTGTAAGTCTCAACTAATTACCCCAAACACTTTTCGACAAAAAGCCTCAAAGGTCGGAAGGCAAGAGGAGTTTTAATAGGAGAGCAAATCCGCTCTAATCCAGATTATACCGGCGGGAAAAAGAAAACTCCCCACAGGGTAGTGTGGGGGTCTTTACAACTTATCGCGTGTGTGTTCTAGACTTTAATTAGACGTTCGGGCTGAGACGTAGCTTCAATTTAATGTTCGAAACTAGTGTGGTGTAGTTTTACAAATACAAATACAAATACAAATATTGTTTATTTCGTCAATGTAGGTATGTTACAATAGATGATAGATAATATTATAGTAGTTCGCTACATTGTGTCTGTACAGACATACAAAATTTTTTATAGTATGTTCTTAATCTAGTGTGTTTACAGACAATAATCTTCCCTGTCTACATTATGGAACATAATACACCTAATTACAACTAAATTAATATTAACATCAAGTTTTAATAAAACTATTATTTGTGTTGAAAATTTACTCTATCAGCCGTATACTCAATTAAACTATAATAACATTGAAGTAACTAAATGACTAGGTTTACATTAACTTATGGAAACAATAAAAATCTTCATTGTTAACATTATAAATTTCCTCTGTCATCAATCATAAATTCGGTTAAATTATAATAACATTTAGTTATTAAAAACTGCCTTAGTTTTTTTTTGAAAAGAGGTAAGTCTAGTGCTTTGATTTCCTTAGGTAATTTATTATATATTTGTGCAGCAACCCTGAAAATACTCTTACTAAAAAGCGCTGTATTACCGTGTACTACTTGAAGGTCACCAGTATCCTTTTGCCTCAGCCTGGAATCGCGTGGGGGCTTTAATTCAAATAGACATCTGTTACATTTAACGAAGGTGGCTACTTCGTAAATAAATAAACATGGAAACGTTAACAGTTTTAAGTCTTGAAAATGTGGCTTACAACTGTCCCTAGGACGTAGGCCACGTATAGCGCG